GTCGGAATTTTATTATGAAACGTAGCACACGAGCCCACATCCAAGATGGCGGCAGTGAACGTAAACTGTGGTAAAACTTGGAATGTGTACCTGTGACTCACTGACCTGCTCCGCCCATGAGCGTGCTGCACAGGTGCCAGAAACTCTCTGATGAGCTGAGCTCAGCAACAACAGGGAGGCTGCGCATCAGCTCACCTGAACACACCTGGCTGATGCACGAGCTCCGGAGCCGATCGGTGGTTGGCCGTCAGTAGTACAAAGTCAATTTTTGGCATCTTTGTTTGTTCATTTTATTCCAAACATGTAAACAATATACGAAGGTCATTTAGCAAAGACAAACAAACAGCTTTACAAAATAACATATAGGAAAGGAGTGGGAAGAAGTGCGCATGTGCCGCCCTTCTCCACAGTTATCGTCAATATTTAATCAGCGTCCTGATATAATCTGCAGTCATAATAATAACGAGCATATTTCTAACATAATATACACACCACATAACATCATTTTGTTTTTGCCTCCACACAACAAACCGACTCCTCCAGTTATGAGAAGTTAGTTGTAGAATCCAATAAGCAGGAATGAAACTGTCCACGGCCTGCTGGGAGACAGAGCTGTCAGATCATCAGCGTTTGTTTCCTCCTCACCTTCTGCAGGGAGGGCACGTCTGCCATCATACTGTTAACTTATTTCTTGTTCAACTTTGTTTAGATGTCCCACAGCAGCCTGTTGGTGAGGAGGAGGAGGTTCTCCCTGAGCAGCAGCTCTGGAACCAGGAGAGGAGCTCCAGTGTGGAGGAACCAGAAGCTCCACAGATTAAAGAGGAAGAGGAGGAACTGTGCAGCAGTCAGGAGGGAGAGCAGCTGGGACTGAAGGAGGAGACGGATACCTTCATGGTGACTGCTGCTGAGGAAGGAGAGCACAGTGAACCAGACATGGAGCAGCTCTTCTCTCGGGGGCCTGATGCCTTCATGGTGACTGCTACATATGAGGAAAGTGAGGAAGGAAGGAAGCAGTTTTGTTGCCCAACGTGTGGCAAGTCTTTCAACCGGCGCAGTAATTTATTATCCCACACAAAAATCCACACGAGTGAGAAGCCCTATTCCTGTGAAATATGCGGGAAGTCTTTCAATCGAGGCAGTAATCTGTTACGCCACATGAGGTCGCACACAGGGGAGAAGCCTTATGTTTGTAAGAGCTGTGGGACCAGGTTCTCTGAGTTCTCATCACTCAAAAGGCACAAAGCACATTTTGCACAGAGCTGCAATATGTGGAAGAAAAGTTACAGCATGTCCTTAAAGTCCACGTGAGAACCACACAGCTGAGAGGCCGTGACTGTGTCAGCGTTACTGCACCACGCAGAGACGTGGTCGTCCTGAAGCACCGAAAACGTGTGGACATATCGACTGGGCCGCGCTTCAGCGGCGGTCTCATGTGAAACGAGTCTGTTACAATCTGAGGGAAACAACCAACAGTTTAAGGCAGAAAAACGTGGATCTTTCATGTTTTCATGAAGTCTCGGTGGCTCTGTGTGAGCCCCGCCTTTGTTTCTCTTCAGTTCTGTGAGCGGGTTCTTCTCGCTGTGGAACATCGGATCACCGACATCTGTCACTGAGTCAGAGTTCTGGGAGATAAACGAGTGTAAAGACTGAGCAGTGCGAGCGGCTCAAGTGTTTGGATGTTTTCTTGGTCTGTGTGTAAACAACAACATTATAATCCAGCAGAAACACTGAGGAGCTTTTAACAAGCTCAACTTTCTCTTCTAGAGTCAGACAAGCCTCCCCCAGGCCTCCCTCTCTCCCCCAG